CACATTATATATAAATAGTAAATATACAGAATATACGTAGAAAACACCCAGACCGATATAAACAATCATACTCATGTATACAAATTTGTGAACCGTGCGAGGATCGAACCCGCAACCATAGGAAGTAAGACGCTAGATCACCGAGGCCGTCACAATATAATCATTTAGAAAACTATAATATCAACTAAATACATGGATAGCATAATTTTACACATACGATTCCGGGGCACTGCGCTAGTGACAGATAAACACAATCAAGACGACCGTACTCCATAAAAAATCCATAAAAGATTCCCGAACTGTACAAACCGAGACTGAAATCAATCCTTATATCTTGGTGAATTTACAACTCCACCCCATATTAAGAACCCCATAAACCCCCTTCACCCTACATCGATTCACCCCCGTCCACCTCGATTTAAAACAAGGTGTGCACAGCACTAAATAGTCTCGAACGGTTCTCGATGCGTAAAATTCGTGTAATCGAATAGTCCCCTTGAGGATTTGTTGATACGATTATTTGATTTATCGCGATAGGGTTGCCAATAATTAGATTCTCTTAAAGAAAATTAAATAATTGTACTAATAATATAAAAGCTGAAAGAGGATGAGGATGAGTATTTGTTTCTAAATGTAGAAGCCCATAAAGATTGTAAATGGCGGAAAAACATACATATTATTACATATTATATTTTTCGTAAATACATACATATTATACATAGAAAACACCCAGACCGATACAAACAATCATACTCATGAATACGAAATGTTTGTACCGTGCGAGGAATCGAACCCGCGACCATCGGACGTAAAGCGGTGAAATTTAATTTAAAAATTACCTTTATTTTCTTGCACATTTGCAACAACTTTAAAAAATATATATCACAAAATCGCGCAACCCTTACATAAAATCTTTATTTACATCTATAAATGTTTATTTGGCTTTAAAAAGAACAGTAAAGTGACAACCCTAACATAATCAGGCGTAAGCACAGAGTCACCAGACATTAAATAAATTTGATAATCTGTAGAAATAAATTAATTTATCCTTTTTAACTACGTGTATATATCATAAAATTCTTCGTTCTTTCCTATTGCTGAAAACTGCTTTAAAATCCGTTGCATAGTTTAAAATACCTAAACGAACAGACAGCGGAAGTTATTTCATTTTATACTATGTAAAGATCAAATAATTAAAATACAAGTATTCATTGATCACAGAAGTACCTAATTTGTTATGATTTTCTCAATAAATATTGCGAAAATAGGTAGTGAGTTCGAATTTTTGCAGTACAGTATATATTTTTATTTATATTAGGTACAATAGATATACTCTCACAAAATAATCTATTAAGGTTGTACTAGTACGAAATTGCGGGCATATCTAGTAGAATAGAATAGAATCAAGAATAAAATAAATAGAAGAATGAAATTCATTTTTTTCAAATGCACTTAATTTCAGCACTTATGTTTAGTCACAGTTATTTTTTTAAACTACCGCTCATTCGGAAAGCTATCAGGAAACTTGGGCGTTGCTTTTTTAAATAATTGTCGTAACTTTAGATTTTTAAGTCGAAATGTGTGAATACAAACTACAGAATACAGTATCTTGTATAAAATCTGAACTGATAAAATACAATTCCGTCATAATTTTAAAAAGATGTATATCACGAAGTGTGCTATGACTTTGAAGGATTTAAAATATTAACATTGTGAATTACTGAGCGAAATAAAAAAAAACATATAATGTACTTACAGAGTAATGACGTAAAAAATGCAATCATATCTTCTCCAGACTACTTTAGGTAACAGCAGGAAAAACAGAAAGAACGTTCTCATTTTGAAACACAGAAGAACGCTAGAACAAGAAGTGTTCCAAATTTGAAATTTGAAATAAAATGCGACCTCCAAACGGTCACGGTCGTGACAATGACCTCATGACGTTTGACCCGTGTGAATCTTTGACATCGTGACGTTCGATCTACGTTCCGATTTTGAATTTCAAAAAACTCCATCGTCACGGGCTGCTGGCTGGATAGAATCCGGCCCTCCGTCGTTAACGAGTGCTCACGAACTGTAAGGTTCCAATTTTAAAAATTGATTTTCACTTTTTCCTTCCTTTAATGGCGACACAATTTCAAGCATTCTGTATCTATAGAAAGGTAGATAAAAAGTATATTCATTTACACCAAGATAAATATAGACATAAATATAGAAGTGGTAATACAAATTAATACAACAAATACAGTATATACTGCCATAAATCCCTTGCCGATATTATTGCTCTAGAGGACAGTATAAATATTTCAAAATATAAAATAGGTAATAAAAACTACATATAATATATATGGCATATCTATTTTTTTATCAAATTCCGTCAAATTTCACTACACATTTCATTACAAACACTTTTTTTACATATTATAACAATAGCTACTTTGACCACTGCATCGCTCGCTATCGACAGGGAATGCATCCCTACACGCTGGAACCTAAGTGGTCTCGGACAGTGCGGTTTCAGAGGAGCTTCCTCCTGCGTACACTTACATTGTAGAATGAACTACCTGCCGAGGTTTTCTCAAGAGACTACAGCATGGGGTTTTTCAAGAAGAGTATATTAAGGTTTCTTAAGGGTTGGTAACGCACACGTGACACCCCTGGTATTTCAGGCGTCTATAGGCTATGGTAATTGTTAAACCTACAATGAGAGTCACTGGCAGTTTCTATATTCGTTTATCCATATTTAAAATGTGAGAGTTCTTTTTATACAATTGTTTTATAACACTTCTATCACTGCGCTCTGCTATAAAAAACGTCTATACAAGCATCTCTCTATTTTCATTCATTTTACTGTAATCGTTTACCATCAGATGGGCCGTATGTGTTTTTCAAACTACTTTGCCTCATAATGTTATGAAAAAAAAACAATATTATGTTTTTTTTTATTTACTATACTCGTACATTTGAATATGGAAATAATATATCTAGCTCATTATTCCAGCAGTCATCAATCATATTGCCAAATAGCAATAAGGGATAAACAGAATATGGCAAGCGTGTCAACTTACAACTAACGGGATCCTTACAATGAATGCATACGCCTAATATTAATATACACGCCCGTCTGTACATCTGTTTGTTCTACATTTTTACCTAGAGCATCATTATTCGTAAAAAATAAACCGGAAGGATATGAAATGAGGGATGAAAGTATGTGTAAAGGAAGTCGGGGTTTCAGCTACTATAAAAATAAAACCCAGTTACAGTTTTATTTTTGATTTGATATCCTTATTCCTTAATAATATTATATATATGAAAGTAGCAATGTTACGCTTTCACACAAAAACTACTGAACCGATCATCATGAAATTTTGTAGACATGTTCTTGGAGGTATTAGAATGGACATAGGATACTTTTTATTTAAAAATAAATAAAAATATTTTTTTATACAAAGCGAGCGAAGTCGCGGGTAAAAGCACGCATATACATATATAAAGACCAGCATGTACATAAAGTTAATATGTTATGTATATTTGTATAAAGTTAATTTCATGAATTTTGTATCGCAACACAACCTGCGAACAGGGATGAATGGAAGAGAAAAACATATTACGCCGACCACAAATAAATGGGATAAGGAAGAAGATGATACGGCAAACAATCTGACTGCCCACCAGGTGGGACCTTCGTCTGTAGCAAGCACTATTAAGATAGATAAATATTAATTTTTATTTATTATCTGTGGCTAGTGTTACTTTTTAAAACGTATTGAACGTCAAACAACATGAGGCAGTATTCGATTTTTCCCTATTTATTTATATTAACTTTTATCGTAAATATTTTTGTGTGCACAATAAAGTGTTGTATTATTATTATTACAGTTAATTTTACTATCAGTACGCAACTCTGAATTCAAAGTTAGATTTATAAGTACTTTTTTCCCCAAGTCTTGCCTTAATAATAAAATTATAATATTATTAGTTGATATCTAATTAATGACTAATCGATTTTATTGCTTATTATATTCTGGCTGCATGGGTGTAGTGTCTTTGCCTCGTTTTTCAGTAAAATAATACGCAAATATTTTTTAAATTTATTTTACAATAATTTATCGTTATTTACTTTTGAGAACGAACTTCATCACATATTCGTGTTATTCTAAAAAACTTGTTAACAGTTTCATATTAATAATGTTTAAGTTCTAATATACATGATACGTGATGTTATCGCGCGAAAATTTGTATTCTAGAATGGGATGAGTTTAAATTCAAATATTACAGAAGTATATTTAATTATATATTGTAAGAGTATATAATAAAATTAAACTATAGTTCATTCTATTAATGTATTTTATGAACACAATTTATCACTCGTATATATATTAACAAAAAAACAATAAAACATAATTGTGGACGAGTAGCAAGAACGCAAAAGTAGTAGCGGTGGGGTGTCCTTCACACCGGGCGACGGATGTCGAACTAACTCGGACATCAGCGCCGATTGATGCGAGAACAATAGGTTTTACTGGCATTATGGTCGCGTCCTCGTTTGAAATCCTGATGATCTAGCGTCCCGCGCAGGTCCACCTATATCTATCTGATGCAGAAACAGAAATACAGAGACCGAGGGAGCCCCAACAACATCCTAAACCTAATTATTATACTGTATAAAAGATAACGTTGTATGCCCTCTGCGTATACTACCAAAACATAGGCCGCACGTGTAAAACGACTGACAATACGCTTTAAACAACGTTATTCTTCACGTCGTTATTACACCGTGCAAACCTACGGGTTTTTTTTTTTTTAAGCATATTACATCGGACCGACAACGCTCTTCGTTCCCTCTCTATGTCATAGTCATCATTCAAGTCCCCCGATACAATGTGACCCAGGTATTTAAACCGCGACACCCGATTCAATGGTGTGCCATAAAGACATAAACCGCCGTAAATTGCATATTTTTTTTTTTCTCTGTGTGCTATTTTTGCCATGAAATATCATGACCTCGCTCTTTTTAACATTGTATCGGAGGCCATGTGAATATAAAACTCCGCATATTCTTCACACGTCTTCAGCAGTCGACGAAGTGCACTAATCGATGGACTCAGCAGCACCATATCGTCCGCGTAACTTATACTGTTAATCATGTTTCCATGTATGGAGCATCCGATCCTGGCACTGCTAAGCCCATCAATCAGGTCATTCACATATAAACTGAAGAGTGCAGGAGAAGACAGTCCCCCTGTCTCACCCCACACCTCAACCTATACTCTTCCGAGAACGAACCCGACCATTTGACCTGGTTAACTTGATGATCATACCAATACTTAAATAAATCAACCAGCTGACAAGGTACAGCTTGGCGATGTATTTTTGACCATAATATATCATAATTAACCAGGTCAAACGCCCTGGAAAGATCCAAGAAAACTGCATAGACAGGTGTACTTCTATCAGTATAATACCTGACCGTGTCCTTGAGCGCCATAATAGCCGTCTCCGTCGACAGTCCTGGCTGAAAACCGAACTGCGCATCGTGTATATTAAAATATTTGCCTACTCGTCTCTCAAGAACACCGTCAAGCACCTTCGCAGCAATAGTAGCCAACGATATGGGTCTATAGTTCTCTTTATTTGAGAGATCGCCAGTCTTATTCTTTGCTATGGGTACAACAATAGTCCTCATTAATGCATTCGGAAGATAAGAATGCTGTATACACAGATTATATAATGCAGTTAATACCCTCAGGAGTTGCGGACCTGCACACTGGAAATGCTCTACACTAAGTGAATCGTGACCCGGCGATTTACCTCTTGTCATTGATTTTATAACGTACTTTATTTCGTCCGTAGAGAACTGTACTGGTACCCTTGACTTAGTGCTCCTAGCACATTCCGACCGCGTACTGGGTTGTAGTACTGGATCCACCTTAAAATGATTCATAAACAAATCCGCAATATCCTTTGGGTTACTTATGCTATTGACGCTCACAGGAATGGAAGGTTTAGGGCTGAGTTTCTGAGTTAACTTCCAGAATCTCTTAAAATTTTTACCCTTATGCTCTGCGCCTAAAATATCCAACTTAATTTGTTCCGCATTATTTTGACAAAATTTTAATTTTTCTTTAAATGTTTTACCTTTTTCCCTCATAGTTACATACAGAGGCCCGCATCGTGGCTCTCCATAGAACTTCCAGTTAATAAAAGCCTGCCTCGCCTGCCTATGAGCGTCCCTAACATATTTATTCCAGCCAGGCACAGCATGCCTTCTCCATACGCTTTTTTCTGAGTTGCCACTAAGGATAGCCGCTTTTCGAATTAATGAAATCATATTATTATAGAAAATATCAATTGACTGTCTATGTCCTTCGTTGCAACATAAGCTGTCACCACACTGACTAACATCGAAAGGAACATTTAAAGCACTAAGACTTTCTGTACACAATCGAAAATAATTATCTACCTGCGTCACTTCTCGTGTACCCCATATAGCCGGATCTCTTTGCCAGTCTTGGTATTTTACAGAGGTATTCATAGCTACTATACCCAAGTTAATATGCACTACAAGCGGGAAGTGATCAGACCAATATACATCCTCATAAATCTCCACATCACAAACGGTTCTTAATGCCGCTTCAGTTACAATACAATGGTCCAACCAACGTTTACTTCCACATACATCACTGATGAACGAAAACGTGCCAGAGAACCTTCCTAACATAACATAGTCGGCACAACTCCATTGTTGTTCATTACAAAAATTTAATAATTCCGTTTCAAATAATTCACCGGGATGCGCATTAAAATCTCCCATAATATATATATTTTCGGTACCTGAACTTTCGACGATTGCTGCTACTTCACTCAGGCAATTACAAAATTCAACAAAATTATCAGGAGTATTCGTAGGCATGTATATACTAAAAAACAACATAGTGCGTTCACTGACTGTAATTTTAATGGCAGCGATACGATCACTCAAACACGGAATAACAGAGACAGATGTAAATATCGATTTTCTCCATAAGAGTGCTACTCCACCAAAGGGTCTACCTCTTAATATTCCCTTAATAATTTGTGACATATCAACGGCAGATTTGCCAAAATAACCAAAATTATTATCCACAGTCCCCAGTACCGCTAGTTCATGTGGTAACAGCCATGTCTCCTGAAGGGCAATAATGTCAACATTCCTACATAAGTTTCGTATACATTGAACCGACCTCTTTAGTGACTTACAGTTATAACTTACACACTTAGCAATAAACTTATCAAAATTAAAAGTATTTATATCCATTAATTAATGTTAAATAATTATCTGTACACATATAATAAATTAAGTATCTAATATATTATATACTCGACGGTAAATTATTAACCTTACTTTTATATGTAACAAATCTACGAAATGCTATTCCGTCAGGCCATAAGTTCTCATTCATAAATACATTTAATTTACTTTTAGGTATCATGAACTTGTAAGCCGCATATTCCTTATTAAATTTCATATCTATTTTGAGTAATAATACTGACACACTTGTTTTGTTTTTAATATATGTAGTAATATCCTCCATCCTAGTTTCCTTATTTACATTATAAATATAAAACGGAATACTAACATCTGCCGCTTTAAAAGTACAATTAGGAAGAATCTCCGCTTTACCTTTCAAGCCAATGAAACGATTTCGATAACGTTTCCTCTGTACTTTAGTCCATTCTTCACTACGAATCTCTTTTTTCCATTCACTACCGTCGCGCAATAAATCCGACAGCTGTTTACGGTCTGGAGTCAATGAACTACGCGCAGCCGCACGCGCAGGTGCATCTTCGTTCGAAACCACAGTGCGCCTCACTATAATGTCCTTATCACTCTTAGTGTCCGGGCGCATTGGCGATGCAGTTTCGCATGCAACCGTTATTGTCGGAACCACGGTAGGGGCCTCCACGCGCCTACAACTAATCACCTTATCGCACTTTGATTGAAGCACATTAAATGAAGAATACTGAGCAGACAATAACTTTGTCGTTAAGAGTTGTCACTTCTGAGAACGAAACTTCATCACATATTCGTTTTTAAATGTTATTCTAAAAAACTGGTTACACAGTTTCATATTAATAATGTTAAGTTCTATGTGACGTTCTTGATGATCTTGGTGATGTTACTTTCGCGCGAAAATTTGTATTCTAGAATGGGATGAGTTTAAATTCAAATATTACAGAAGTCTATTTAATTATATATTAATGTCATTAATTTAATATAATTTTGTTTTGAAATTCGAATAGATTCTCATACAAATTTCAATTTAAGAATTAGATATCCCAGATTGTGCTATATTTTTAATATAATTTTCTTATATTTTTAATATAATATATTCATCAAATTATACATCCTAGTCAACCAGAAATTGTTTTAAATTTTGGGCTTGGTTATGGTTTTTATGCATAAACATGGAATGTACTTACATCAGGACATCCTAAACATGGTCAAATGGTACCAATCCATTTGAACGTTTCAATATTGGAGAATTGGTGGTGGTATGTTAGGGACGAATTCAAGAGCGCAAAGAAGACATGCACATCGCAGTTCTATTAATGATGAAAAAAAATATTGTCTTTGTTAAAAAAAGTGTTTTTAATAAAGCTAATTTATATACATACATTTATTTTTTTAAAACTAAACCGCCTTCGAGTATCTCTGCACTCCCTAAGGTTGGCTGGTAGAGAATGCTATTAGCATTAAGCCCGCCTATTGTACAAAATCAATAAAGTTTTAAATAAATAAATAAAAAATAAATACATATTAATTATTTTTGTTTAGTTTTAAGTACATAAAAATAAATAAAATAAGCGACTTTATCAAACAATAGTTTTTTAATGTCAAAATGTGTGGTCCAGTGTAGTCAATCACAATGATTTAATGCCATGTCACAGTAATGTTTAAACTAAATGAGTTATAACTAGTGCGACATGTACCAATGAGTTATTGTGACAGGGTTGTTTTAATTGAATGGTTATATTTCAATTGTAATATTCATAATATGCCTATTAACGCAAGTTGCATTCGAGACTTGATAATTGTACACGTTTTCCACCCGGCTTCGTTTTTACGGAACGCATTTTTTATATTTTTAAAAAACTAACTTAATAGTACTTTAATATTCCCCTAAATCTACTATCTTTAAAAATCACTAAATATTTCTGTATGTATGTATAGTAAACGGTGTACTTGACAACACTGTACCGATTTTGATGATTATTTTGTAATTAATCAGGTTTATTTCCGTCTTCATTTCATACTAATATGGGAAATGGTAAGATGGTAACAGACGTCTATAGACGTGAATAGAACTATATTATTTAATTACTATGCTTTACTGTTCCGGAGAACTAAGGTATCATGCCTCAGTACTCTATAATTTCACTGCCATATCTCACCCTACAACAGAAACACAGCTTAAAAAAGCAAGTTGCTTCACGGCAGAAAAGGTGAGATAGTAGCACTTACTATCTCCTTGTTGTAGAAAGTTGAATATATCTACACGGGGTCTTATAAAAATATCAATAACCAGCAAAGATAAATCTCTTCTAATACTATAAATTCGATTTTGTGTCTGTCTGTCCATTTGTAATATTTTAACGATCATACTGCTAATCAGAGCTGATTATACAATGTATCAGGAAATGGATATGGCATGTCTTTAATTTTAAAAATAATATGGAAGGGGGTGAAGTAGGGATGAAATTTTTTTCAGACAAAATCGCGTGTAATATCTAGTATAACAGATAGGGTGAAGTAGGAATAAAAAATGTTCAAGTAATATCTAGTGTAACGGAGGGGGTGAAGAAGGGATGAAAAATTATTCACACGAAATCGCGCGTAACATTGAATATAAAATATATACGAGTTGTATATATTTTATTTTTAAAAAGTCAATTGAAAAACAGTCATTTACAAAGTCGGTTAAGAAATACAATTGACGATGTTTTCCCACGTCGTCGGCTTCTTTGAGGACAAAAAACTTAACTGAACTCTATTAAATACTAATATTTGTTTCTGTATTTGTCCGGAAACAAACAGGTGACACGCGACTCTCGCATCATTCCGCTAAACGTCTTTGTATTAGATACTAAATAACGTGATTCATAAATAATTTTGCTCCCCTCAGATCGATCCCTGGACCAATTAAACGGGGATCGAAATTACGACGGCCTAAGCTAATGTTCGACCCCTAGCGGATCCCTCAGACTAAAGTCGTATCCGTCAGGCGGGAGTTGGCCTTAAGCCGCTCGAGAAGCGTCATCTGCATTTGCCCCCTATGGTCCGGTGAAGCTGTAAAGGCTATCTGCGGCCAACAGCATTAGAGTAGTTCGAAAAAATAGGAATACCATAACCTTGACAAAACGTGAAAAGAAAGAACACCTTGGAGTTTTTATTTCGGTTTTAGTTCGGCAGTACCAATTTACCTACCCTGGTGTGGGAGAGACATCGTGAGGATTTTCCTCTGGTAAAAAAAGTTTTAAACATTCTTTTCAATCACTCTTCGTTTTTTTAGGAAAATTGTTCACTTTCAACTAACTGGTTTTGGTTTTCTTATAAGAGTTATCTTTCTCTTATGTATCTATGTATTTTCCATTTTCTTCACATTAAATCAGAAATCAGTTATGGTATTTTGTATTTTACATATTTAACACCTACATATATGTTACAATATAAAATTGCACGTAACTAGGTATAATAAAGTTGCTATATCGATCCAATTGCAATATCAACATATAAACTTCCGACAAACGTCATTTAAAAATGGAAAATGTTTCCATAGGATCAAATAAGGTTACAAACAAATAAACTCAGTGCATGTAGGTCGTACAAAAACTAGAAAATATTCATAAAAACCGGCGTAGTGACAAGAATGTGAATATTTACAGAAATAAACCCGATATACACGTAAATGGTGAACATAACAATGTTAGCTTGCGCGTATAAGGTCGAATGCAGTGACCTTATCCGGAGTGACTGGTCTAGTGACACATCGAGTAAACGTGTGGACAAACACACAGGCTCGGCACTAGTTTAGTCAATGATAAAGTATTACATTTTTTATTGTTATTTCTATAGTTAATCGAGTTTAACAAGAATAATTTTATTGTCAATATCTTTAATATTATACGAGTAAATTAGTAGCTGTACCCGCGGTTTCATTCGCATGAAATTTATAGCCTATATGTTATTCTGATGTCTAAGCTATATTACTGTAAAGTTTCATCAAAATCCGTTCAGTGTCCGTTTGTCCTAACAAACATTCATCTATCCATCGGATGGTTCACAAATGTCCTTTGACAAAGAATTTTATTAAATTTTTTAATGTTTTCTGATAATAGCAAGGAGTCCATTTTGGAATCCGCTATCTGTAATATATCTTTCTTTGTTGTTGGTACAACAGCCATCACTATAAAAGATAAATTAATTATTATAACAGGATATTAGATGAAATACACTGGCATTGTGAGAGAATTAACCATAGACAATAGGTCATTTATACGTTCTGATAAAATGAACATTTAAAAAGTAAATATAAATAAAATAATCGAAATCGAATTTTGAATTCTATCTTCCGAATAAAAATCGAGGGATGTGGCTAAGATTTTTTTTAACTACGATAATGTAATCGGATCCCAGTGAAGGATAATAAGATGAGCAAGAGGTCAGGTCAGTTGGCCCATTGTAACAAATTTACCAGGAATTTATCACTATGGTTTCCAGGAGGAACCGCGTTGAGGTCAACCTCACTTGGTACATTGCCAGCTATGGGGTTAGCCCACATTACTACTCACCCCCTTCCCCCAATATTCGCAGACTCATCACAAGAAGAATGAGCAAGAAACTTGCGTGTTGCTTTTTTAAATATATCTTCAGCTACTTCTTCCTTATCCCATTTATTTTTATTCGGCGTAATATATTTTTCTCTTCCATTCATCCCTGTTCGCAGTCATCTCGTTATTTACTTCCTTTCTTACCATATCATCTTTCACACAGTCCATCCATCTCTTTTTCGGTCTTCCTCTGCCCTTATAACCATCTACATTCATATGTAACACTTGAACTTAAATAAATGTTTTTTTTTAAATTAATACACATTAACAAAAAAATATACAACAAAAAAAATAAATTTCGAATAAATCGAGGGATGTGCCTAAGATTTGACTTTGGAATTTGCGAAATTGTCTTTGATTTACGATCTCCAGTGGAAGGCAAGATAATTATTATAGTAGGTACAATAGGCTTACATTGTGAGAGAATTGACCATAGACACATAGTGCATCTTCCATGGCTCTCAATGTAAACATGCTACATTAACATTCCATGGTCAATTACTTCAAGATACAACGGCATTTCCTTTGCGGCCTTCGAATTAAAATGCATCTAATTTTTACTGTCCATATACAATTTTAGTGTTGTAACAGGAAATTTTTTAATCGAACAGTTTTCTCGATTGTGATGTATTGTGGCCATAATATTACGACTATTATATCATTATGTCATAATAAGAACTATCAGTTCGAATCCATATGAATTGGCATATTTTGATATATTATTCTGAAATAAAAAAATTGTTATTGTCAATATTTTCTCTACTAAAATTGTAAATGTAACATATGTTTGTTTATGAAGTCTTCTTTTCGTAATTTAACATCGCAATAACAATATTGTGAAAAAATATATTTACACTCTACATATTTCAGAGACGTTTCTTTTTTTGGACTACAATTTTTGGACCGTATTTGGCCTATACTTCACCGGAAGATAAGGGGCGAGTGCAACTCGCACTCCAAACCTGCAGAAGGACTTATAGAGCGACTGAAGGCGAACAACAACCGCCTGGCGAAAATG